CTTTTTTTAAAAATTTTGGGTTTATGTACGTTGTTAGAGTTGATTGTCTCATATATAATTATAATATGCGTATTAATACTATATATTATGCAATTCATTATCATTGATCATCATTACATCAATAGTGATGATGTAAGCAATAATAGTAATGTTAATATAAATTACTAATTCCGGAATGTTATAATATATGTTATCCTCACTAGTATTGATAGGCAAACGAACTTATCTGAAGTTAAATTGCCGAATGTTACGGATGCCATAATAATAACAACGGCACCATCAGACTTATGATTGATAATTCAGTTATCAATCATAAGGTCGCTTTCACCCGGATATACTAATATGTGAAGTATCCTCAGTATAAGAATTACGAAGAATAAATTAGATATTTTTGAATATTTTTTATGTTACGATGTACGGCAGCATTTACATTGTAGATGTCTATGGGCTCCGGTAACCACTTAACACCAGGTGGGCTGTGAGTTCGTCCACACATAAGCAATAAATAAAAATAAAGCTTACAGTGATGATAAGGGGTCACCGGAGCCCATAAACATCAAAGACACCTTGAGACATGAGTTCTAAGTTCTTAGTTTTTACAGTACAACGGTTTCTCCAACCATCGAACCGAATCGCAGTACTATTTCACGGCAGAAATAAGCAACGCGGAGTAACGTTTCCGTGCAGGCTCACAAGACGCCCTACCACCAGTAAAATGATAGATAGATCAATGAGAAATTGAAATAATGATGCAAGGTAATCTGTAACTGGAATTCAGCATTTTTTATCACCATTACCAAATCAGAACCGGTTTTTTTTTTATTGCTTAGATGGGTTAACGAGCTCACAGCCCACCTGGTGTTAAGTGGTTACTGGAGCCCATAGACAAATACAACGTAAATGCGCCACCTACTTTGAGATATAAGTTCTAAGGCCTCAGTATAGTTACAACGGCTACCCCACCCTTCAAACCGATACGCATTACTGCTTCACGGCAGAAAATAGGCAGGGCGGTGGTACCTACCCGTGCGGACTCACAAGAGGTCCTACCAACAGTGATTACGCAAATGATAACTTTGCGGGTTTGATTTTTATTACACCATGTTATTCCTTCACCGTGGAAGTCAATCGTGAACATTTGTGAAGTACGTATTTCATTAGAAAAATTGGTACCCGCCTGCGGGATTCGAACACCGGTGCATCGATACGGTAGATAATGCACCGGACGTCTTATCCTTTAAGCCACGACGACTCTTACAAATAAGCTGACGTGCAATCATTTCATCATTACATCTCTTAAATATTGAGTGTATTATCTATGATTACGTCCTTGGTTATTATTGATAATAATAAAAAACAGCTACAATAATACCTGAAGCCACGCAAAAGTATTTAGTTGAACTATTTTAAGAATCACAGAACAAAGAAAGAATTTAATGCGTTTCCGAAATAAGATTTCAATCAAGCACTGCCAGTTTGTTTGCGAGAACAAAAAATAAACCTCAATAAATCAGTCCCCCTTTCGTCGAAATCTCATCAAACTTTGCAAAAGTGCTTTCGGAATTTACATAAAACAAAGCGAAGCTATGTCTTATCATGAATACTTAGAACCGTTCACATTGTTTAAGAACAATATGCTAAAATTTATACAGTAGCTGTCTGAATTCTTGAACGTTCAGGTTTTTGTCGAATCAAAATATCTCGGATACAAAAAAATAAAGTTGGAGTTTTCAGTATAAAAGACGGCTAAAAATGCACAGTGATACAGCAGTAAAACTAGAGTTTTATATCGGCGCACTGCGATCACCGACTGCATTTTCTGTTACGATATTTTAAACTATTTTATCTATTTAGACCCCACAGACACAACCAACAGAGTTTCTGGAGGGATTTTCTCAGTGGATTGCCATTCCGATCCAGTGATAGATTCTGCGAAGCACTGCTCTTCTAGGACTAATATCAGCAAATTCTCTCAGGCTGAGCCCGTGAGCTCACCTACCCCTCCGTGGGAAACTGCAATAACCTCTTAGGCTACCAGTGAATAGGTAGTAAAAAAGAAAGCCGCATGTTACCTTTAGATTTGAAAAGTGGGACATCTGTAATACAATACAGCTGAGACTTAGACTTTAATTCTTAGGGTTGACTCTTCTAACAGGTGCGCCGCAAACTCGCATCCGTTTCTACATTGTAAATAAAACTATGTTTTTTTTTAAATATGTAATAAAGTTAAAACTTATGGAAGTATTATAATTGCCTTCATATAGTATGTATCAATTGTGGCGTATATTTAGTGCCCTGGAATATGTTATGTGAGTGTGTGCATTTTTTATTTGTTTATTGCTTAGACGGTTGGACGAGCTCACGGCCCACCTGGTGTGAAGTCGATACCGGGGCCCATAGGCATCTACAACGTAAATGCCGCCACCAACCTTGAGACGTGAGTGTAAAGTCCTTCAAACCGAAGCGTATTACTGCTTCACGGCAGAAATAGGCAGGGTGGTGGTACCTACCCGTGCAGACTCACAAGGCGTCCTACCACCAGCACGTCCTGCGTGTGTGTATTTGGATATGTGTTCAATTTATTTTGACTAACTGTAACTTTTTGCCTGTCTTACCTTTAAATGTGACTATCATAGAGAATGCCTAAGGCATTAAGTCTTCTAATGCACTAGAACAATTACATTAAAGACACATATCAGCACGAGGTGATTCCTCATCGAAAAACGAGTAATAAAATCAAATGAAAACACTATGTTTGAAAGTTAACCGTTTTATTACATTTTTATTTCTTTTTTAAATATTTAGTTAACATAACACGTTTCTTTGATACCAATAATTTGGTACAACAATTGCTTTAACACAATGCATACGTAAACACTAAAGCTATCTTGCTTATTATCATAAATCGTAAAAAGGAACATAAGAATTGTACAGTACCAGGCAATAAATATTACACATCGATATTTAGAAAGAGACAGTCGTCTAATTTTGTTTTTGTTGTAGGGCGTTACCTGTGTGCGACGAAACACTAACAATCCGGTATCTAAGGAGACTAAATGTCAATTAGGTAATGTGCGACAGGTATAACGCTCTACGAAGCAACAATTAACCTTCTCTTTCGCACGGCCGATGTGCAATATTTAACGCCGGGTACTGTAATTGATAGTTTAGATATAGGTAACCACTTGGCTGTATCCCTGATATTGCTGACATCCATGAGCGACTCTAACAACTCACTATTAGATAGACCTCGTCTGGCAATACCGGTAGTAAAATATATAATTTACAAAAACCTTCAACTACTTATTTTGAAAGAAACGCACATATAGGTATATTAAGTTAGTATATTGTCCCTTTCAGGCGTAACTGGAACAGCCCCTTAGGCTACCGGCGAATAAGTAGGAAAAAAGTATATTGTGGGGCATTTAAAACCTTCCAGTTTGACAACCATTGTCCAACACGACTGACGCTGTATCATGTTTGTAGAGCTGAGGTACTTTATGTCTCTGGTGTCCAATAACCATATCTTAATTTCCCCTACGAATTTATAATATGTATTATAATATGTATATATAATAATGATATATAATATATATTAATATGATATATATAATATCTAAAAGACACTATAATATATAGGTAGTATTTTGGTTAGTTGTCGCGAGTCGTAGATAGCTGAGAATAACTGGAAACAAATCACTCACTGTGATCCGAGCCCAAATTAGGATTCCCTGTGCTATGGGTACCAGAGACTGACATACATACTTTTATAGGTTTACTTTAAATAAATATCTAGATAATAGACACCCAGACAAAGAGCAAACAAAACTGTTCATCACACGAATGTTTTCCCGATGGGGGGAATCGAACCCACGACCCTCGGCGCAAAACCCAACTCAACTAACTACTGCACCACCGTGTCAGTCGAGTGGATATAATAGAAAATACTTTTACGGCTTAATTTCGCGCTTATTATACTCATTATTATTGTCTCTCACGTTTCGTCGTCCGTGAGTGAACACGAAATAATATTATTACTTGGCCATAAAAAATGAGAAATTAAATCGTAAAAGTACTTTTTAATTATATTACTTTACGTAATGCTCTTTCATTGTTATATATGAAGCGTTAGATATTGTCAGAGCTGGAGTACCATAATATACAAAGCTATAACAGTCGTGGCCCATTGAATCGTAGCTTGAAGGCATCAAGCTGAATCCACTTGAATACACAAGAAGTGGGTAGTTTAGATCAATGTGGTCGTCACCTGCTCAATCGCTTGGCGGCTCAAGGTCAGATAGACAATTGTTCTTTTTGTTTTGTACCATATAAAGTGCTCTAGGAAGTGGAATTTCTTCACAGTTCATTTCTAAAAATCACTGCTCCGCATACAGTCTGAAATGAACACGTATCCATTGTGCTTCCACACACTGACACGATCTTCTTCACACGGGGTTCAAAACTATACCTCAGTGGTGGACCTTAATCTTGACCTGACCAGACCTGATGTCCTTAAGCGCCGATGATCACTTAACATTAAGCGGGCAGTCAGCTCGTCTTATATTTGGTTATTTTGTAGATGGACGATTGAGATCAAGGCTGAACTTGTGTTAAGTGGTCATCGAAACTCATAAAAAGCACGATGTGAATGTCACCTAGCTTGAAATAACTTGAAATGCATTACTGCTTCACGGCAGAAATAGGCAGGGTGGTGGTACCTACCCGCGCGGACTCACTAGAGGTCTTACCACCAATAAACAGAACTAATAGTAGTAAGACTATTGTAGATATACAATACACATAAAAATTTATTGGATTTGATTTTTATTACATGTCGTTCTTCAACATTCATTAAGTTCTTATTGCATTAGAACCATTGGTACTTCTACCTGCGAGATTGGAACATCGGCATAGTAACATATATACAATTACATCGGACCTCATATGCTTTAGGTCACGACTATTATTAGAGCTAGATTTCGAAAAGAGCAATAAAAAATCTAGTATAAAAAAAAACAGTGTAATTTTACACAAAAAAAATTACAATGAAAAATTTGCGCGAATCAAAATCTCAATCAAATCCCTAAGAGATCTATATGAAAAATAGTATTCCAAAATGCATAATTTAAAAAACGTTTTTTTTTCTTCTTTTATGCACTAAATACAAAAATAAATAAAATCATCGAAAGAAAACAAAAAATATATAAACATACTAAATAATACCTACAAAAATGAGTTTCGCTTATAAAATACTCACTCATTCACTTCCGCAACTAATATTCATCTTTGGTTAGACTTAATCTAAATTATTCTAATCTCCATATTTCTCGACAATATTCTATTGAAGTAATAGCTTCATCCAAACGTTGCTTCGGAAGGTTCATGCGACTGGCATTTTCTCGTGTATCCAGTTTCGTTTGCCCTCATTGAACTCGGCTGCAGTGTGATCAGTTCCCTCCAGTATCCATTTCGTTGTTAACAGACCTTCTACACCGACTGGACCTGATCGGGAGTACGATTTGCCATTAGTTTTTGCTTACTTATACCTTATGGTTATCGATATACTTATGACGTGAAGGGGTCTTGTGATATCGCACATTTAGAAATAAAGTGGCTTAATCCAAAATTCTGGTGTTTTTGGTAAACGCCAAAAATATATATTTCGTTTTTATGTAATACTTTGAGCTGTTATGAGCCTTAAATAAATACATTACCTTAAATAAATAAGTCAAAAGTATGCGCTTGATTTAAAAGAAACAAAAAGTGTACTTTGACTTTTCTACCTAAAATTTAAATATATACATTTTTCAATTTATTTTATGATTGAAGGATTACCGGTGGTCCAGAGATCTTTCCAGCTTCACCAGGACAGGTGGGCGTCCAAAGGCTCAGCCAAGAGGGGTGAGATTTGCTAACAACTGCCCGAGCGCCTCCGGAGGAGACCTAACAACTCAAGAGCAGCTGCTTCGCGAATGAATCTACTGCCGGATCGGAATCGCGACCCGCTGAGAAGATCCGCCGAAAAACTCAGCGGGTTGATGTTAAGTTAGGTCGTTTTTTTTTATTTTATAAACTGATAGAACACACCTTTTTAAGTACAAAACCTTCAAAGTATAAAAGTATTTTATTAGTTAAGCCCCTTCAATTCTAAGCTTGCGATATTACCCGGTAATCATTGGCAGCATATATAGAATAAAGTAATATATTTTATAAAGCCGTCCTATACAGCTGTTTTATACAGCAGCGACAAAGAAAATTGTATTTGAAAAGTCGGAAACAATATAAAAACGATAAAAAAATCGAGATTAAGCCATGAAAGTTGTTTTAATTTCGTCTAACGCTTCATCAAATCTTTTCTCAAATACATATGAGGCCGTCAGCGCAAAAATGGCCTAAGCTTACCATAAGTCGTCGTGGCCTAAAGGATAAGACGTCCGGTGCATTCGTGTGTAGCGATGCACCGGTGTTCGAATCCCGCAGGCGGGTACCAATTTTTCTAATGAAATACGTACTCAACAAATGTTCACGATTGACTTCCACGGTGAAGGAATAACATCGTGTAATAAAAATCAAACCCGCAAAATTATAATTTGCGTAATCACTGATAGGCCNGTCGTCGTGGCCTAAAGGATAAGACGTCCGGTGCATTCGTGTGTAGCGATGCACCGGTGTTCGAATCCCGCAGGCGGGTACCAATTTTTCTAATGAAATACGTACTCAACAAATGTTCACGATTGACTTCCACGGTGAAGGAATAACATCGTGTAATAAAAATCAAACCCGCAAAATTATAATTTGCGTAATCACTGATAGGCCGGTTTTGCATTAAAATTTATTATATTTTAAATAAATTGCAATATACATAATTATAACCATGATTATGAACAAATATGGGTTAGGCCACTTTTGCGCTGACGGCCTCATAATATATGAAATTAAATCCGTTGTGTTCCTAGTGTCGACTTCAGCTAAGCCTCGTGAATAGTTGGTAGCGTTCAGTTTGTGACGTCTATAAGCTTCGGTTACAACTTAATAGCAGACGGGCCATGAGCTCGACAGTCCGAATACAGGAATAACAAAATGATAAACCAGGCTCAAGTGAAACCATTCGATAATCATCTATTGTGCAAAATATATCACTCGATATAAAGTTACATTCCAAAAGCTTAATGAAACGGCAAGTGATTGATTATTGTCTAGATAATCTAGATATTTCTCTTAATTCAAGAAATCGCCTACATAGCGTAAAACGCTAGTTTCTGAAGCCTCAACAAATGACACGTGAAAGGCAAAAGAAATCAGGAGTGTACTATTTTCAACGCGGTGACATTTCTATCGCCAAACAACAATTAAAAAAACAAGAGTATCAATCTTAAGCATCAAGTTAATTTATTCCTGTTAATAGACAGACGAGCTCACGCCCCATCTGATGTTAAGTTGTTATCGGAACGCTTAAAAATAACATTGTAAGCCACCACCAGTCTTGGGACATGAGTTTGAAGCTTCAATCATTTACAACAGCTGTCTCACCCTTCAAAGTGGAACGCTAGATTGAAATACATATCCAGTAAATGCAATCGGAGTGCATTAATAGAATACTCAGAAAACGCTGCTATCTATACTCCTGTCCAGAATCCCTCAGTCGGCTTTTACGACACCCGCGGATAAAGAGGACAGTGTGGTTCTATGCCTATGTAAATATAAAAATGGTAATGTGTAATATCTCACCTCTTGCATGTATCCTTGCAGTCGATATTCCGACTTCAGCCCCCAAACCAAATCTGAAGCCATCAGCGAATCTAGACGACACGTTGTGGAAAACACAAGCGCTATCCACTGCCGTCAGGAACCGTTTTGCTGCGTTTTCTAAAAATATATATAACATAAACATAAAAATGTATTTTACTGTAATTTTTTTGAGTAGTATCCCATGCTATATTCTGAATTATGGAAAGATTTTTTTGTATTAAATATATGGAAATTTATCTAATGAACGAGTCGAGACATCATGTCGATTATTCCATAATAAGTCCTATTGAAATAAACATTTTGTGAAATACTAATTTAGGTTGACTGATGTTCCAATTCGAAGTCTGTTATATAAAACCCTTCAGAAAACCTTTCAATTTTTTTTACTCTTGCAAACTAAACGTGTCACACACGCCCTTGACTTAAAATGTACGTTGCTTAATGAATATAATTATCAACCTTTAGTTTTTCATCAACTTTACTAGTGATTAAGGTTAAAAACAATATATTAGCTTAGATTTTTTTCTCGAACAGTACTCAGATCTCTCAAACTAATATAAGTATTTTTTTCTCTGAAAACATTATTTAATCAGTTTCTCCAAGCTAAGATCCACAAGCTATGGGCTATATCACATGAACAACTCGATTAACAAAGCAACAAAAAAACCTAATTGTTTTCGCCTATTCAAATCATACACAACGTCACAGACAACTAAAATAAATTATATATCTCGTTCATTTGTTTGTATCCGTATCGTTAACTTATCTCAACTTCCTTGTTCGAAACATATCGAATTGTTATGAACACAAAATTATTCATAAATTTCTATTTTAATCAGTCATAGTTCAACACAGACTGTCAATATTGAAATACTTTATTGGAACACAAAAGTATACATATTATTTTAGGTACTTTGTTTTTTTTAATTAACTATTGTTCTCTCATTAATAACCATTAACAATTGAAAATTGATGTCATTCCTCAAGGTGATGGCAATCATGTTTTTATGTTATGACTATGGATTCCGGTAACCATCTCCAAGCGCACTAAATTACCTATCTTAATCAAACCAAAAAATTAATCGCTCTGCAAATAAAATCTTAAAAACTTAATCAATCCATGAAACTCTATGTTAACGGCAAGCTATTTGGAATTTCTTACCGTTTTCCGTGACAATAACGTCAGTGTGCGAGCTGCCGAATTTGTGGACATGATCAACAGCTTCATCCAGATCCTTGACGACTTCAATACAACACTCCAAGGCTCCGTACTCATGACGCATGGTCCTCGCCGGCGCAGGACCGAAGGTTAACTGTCTCGCTAGTTTTGGACCGGCGTGGATTATCACACCTTCGTTCTTCAACATATTACAAACGTCAGTGAACAATGATCCTGAGATATGGTCCTCGTGCACAAGTAAGGTTTCCATAGCATTACAAGCGGCCGGATAATCGCATTTCGCATCGCGTACTATCTTCAAAGCTTTAGTTGTGTCGGCGTCTTTATCTAAATACACATGACATATTCCTTCAGCGTGTCCCAATACGGGAATGTGCTGCGACTGTTTCTGGATACTTTGAACAAGTTCCGACGATCCTCTCGGTATTATCAAATCAATGTGTTTGTCCATAGCTAACAAATCACTTATTTCTTCCCGTGTCGAAATCAAAGAAATAGCATCTTCGGCTCCGACCGTTTTAAGAGATTCCTTAACTAGCCCCATTAATGCTTTATTCGAATACGCTGCTTCTTTCCCGCCTTTGAGTAAAAGACCGTTAGCTGATGCCATAGCTAAGGCCGCGACTTGTGGTAGCGAATCAGGCCTAGATTCAAATATAACTAGCAATACACCTATAGGTACAGTAACTTGTCTTAGAATGAGATTCTCAGCCAATTTAGTCTTCCTAAGCACCCTGCCGACGTTTTCGTAACTTGAATCAGCTATTTGTTTCAATCCCACCGATAAAGTTTTCAATTTACTTTGGCTGAGCGACAGTCTGTTTAGCAATGGTTTCGCTACACCATTTTTGGTAGCTTCCTCCAAATCTTTGTTGTTTGCTTCTAATATCTGATCTTGTCTGCTCAATAGTAAATCTGCTAACGAGTGAATAGCAGATGCTCTGTCTAGAGGAGTCAGTTGCTGAAGAGCTCGACCACCAGTACGAGCTATAAAAAGAAATCATTATTAATTCAACTAAAATAAAATTGAAAAAATCTAGTGCTCTGTATAAGTCTTGGTAGTTTCCAAATTATGACCAAATGATTAAAGCCTAGTCAAAACAAAATGCACAATAAAAGTTTGCATTAAAGATCCAATTGAAAGAATTACGTTGAATAATTTTGAAACTACAAACTTACCATTCTCAGCCAATTCATCGACAGAAGTGGTGGAGCTAGTAACATAGTCCGTGAAAAATGTTCCCACTTTTCTACCGCTAATAATGGTTTTTATCGCCTTCTCTTGCATACCGTTACAGATGACCACACTGACTCCACGCGCCATGGCCCAAGTGGCGGCATTGACTTTGGAATCCATACCACCTGTTCCCACCTGAGTTCAAGCAAAGTTTTTTTGTTGTTTTATTAATTGAGCAGAATAAAAAACTTCGAAAAAAATGCTTAAATAAAGTTATTGATGAAAAAAGTGTGGAAATTTTCTAATTGGTGCAATAGAGAAAGAAAATATTACGTTATTGATGGCGTATGGAGATGAAGAAGAAGAAGGGTCGTCGTACCCCCTTTCGGGGGCACGGAACGGGCCTCGGGGCAAACCCCACTACCCGGGACGGAGCTCCCTGCCACATAGGGCAGGGGTGAATTAGATGCGGGGAGGACTTGGGGAGGGTACGCTGTTCGCAGCGTGCACGGCTGCACTACATCGACAAAACATATATACTTATACATAATACGATGGGCTTGAATGGCTCCAGGGATGACGCCCGGCAGCAGGATCCTCCGGCGTCGTGTTGTCCTCAAAATTTTTTTTTNACAGAATGGAGTTGAACAGCCGTGTCATATATGACACGACCGTTTCAGGGAAGTGGAAAAAAGCGAGGGAGGGAATACCGTCCTCGCCCGGCGCCTTGCGCCTCTTCATCCGCTTGATGATGAGGCGCAATTCGCTGGGAGTGATGAAATCACCATCTCCCAACGGTGGCACCGAGGAGGAGAGTAGGCTTGCTACGCTTATGGAGATGAAAACCATCGAAAAGACTGATTCATAGACTTAGTTTGATAAAGTACATCGGTAAGTTAAATTGTTTCAACAACAATCCAAGAGAAGCGTAGAGTATGCAGCATCGTGACCAATGAAAAAAATGCATGACCGAAAATATATATAAAAAAAATCAATAAATCAAAATCAGTATGAGTATACTGAGGAATGAGGGTTCAATGGCTAGAGTTAGCCATTGAACCCTCACCGCAGACGCGCTTACGGTAACCGAACAACAAATTTGATCACGAAAATACTTGAAATTTGAAATTTGAATACAATTGTCTTTTAATAGAAATGTCTTTCATTAAATTGAATATTTTCGTTTCGTCTAAATTACTTTTACATGAAGCTTTTTTATTCGAATAGGGCTGCCATCGCCTATTTGACGTGGAACTAAAAGTTCACGTGGAAACCAATTAAACAAATAACAGTACTCATTTTGCTAATTGGCGACTCACTGAAATTCGAAAAAATATCTAGTAGCTTTTCCGTCATCAAAGGGAACGTTTTGAGCATTGCTTTCTGCACGGAAAACTTTGAACGAGCTTAAAGCCACTTTAAGTTTACTTAAACGTGACTGCCTCCCGTGCTATTTATTAACTATGGTAATAGATTGTGTTAAAGAGCCTATTGTGAGTCCATTGTCATGTCCAATTTTGATACCTATTCTTACAATACAAATACAAAACAATCGTCCATGAGCGACGATAACCACTTACCATCAGTTGGGCCGTATGCTATATGGCATACAAAGGCAATAAAAAAAAATTTAATGGACCTCTGAAAGTCAGCAGTAATCACTTAAGGCGGTGACCACATCTAAACATACACAGTAATAAAAATACAAAGATTGGTAATCTCAAAGCGAGACTTGTTCAACCCTATTTTGAATAAATACAGATTACATTCGAGTCTTGATTTCGTTTCGTCTGATATTTGTATAGTTTTATTAAATTTTATTATCTTGAAGCTATTTCTACAATTGATTTCGATCTGATAACAATGAAAATGTATTTCACAGCTTTTTGATACAATATTACCATCCTACTTGAATTACTTATTCAAATTCAAACTGTTTTTCTTTTTTCTAATTACCATATTAAAATGTTTTACAAAGTTTTTGTATAAAATAAATGCGGTGTAAACAAATTAATGTGCTTTAGAGAATTCAATTTATCAGCACGATTTTACATTTTACATACTTTTTTTTATTGCTTAGTAGGATGGACGAGCTCACAGCCCACCTGGTGTTAAGTGGTAACTGGAGCCCATAGACATCTACAACGTAAATGTGCTACCCACCTTGAGATATAAGTTCTTAGGTCTCAAGTATAGTTACATCGGCTGCCCCACCCTTCAAACCGAAACGCATTACTGCTTCACGGCAGAAATAGGCGGGGTGGTGGTACCTACCCGTGCGGACTCACAAGAGGTCCTACCACCACAAATTAAATATTAAGTTAAATCAAATTAAAATTTCACGGCTACTTACATTACACACACTAATAACATATAACAGATTCTTACTACGGCTTTCACATTTCATGAGATTACGATTTTTCGTCGCTTTTACAGGAGGGTAGTGTACCAGTGTAAATCGTGGTAATAACTCTATACATTATAGTGTTTATATGCTGATGCAGTGTCCATTCGCATAGTAAAACGTTCTACGGTTCAGACATTGGGTCTTTTTTTTTTAATGGCCCTTGTAGGCAGACGAACATACGGCCCACCTGATGGTGTGTGGTTACAGTCGCCCATGGACGTCAGCAATGCCAGGGGCAGACCCAAACCGCTGCCTACCGCTTAATTCTCTCCACAAGCCTCGTTTGAAGAAGGACATGTCATAGCGCTCGGGAAACACCGTGGAGGGGAGCTCATTCCATAGTCGGATGATAGTGGCAAAAAACCTCTGGAAACGCACTGATGAACGCAGTGGCTCCAAGTAGTATGGATGAACTCTAGTCTGGTGGCGGGCGGTGGGTGGGATAGTGAAAACGAGATGATGGTATAATACTCTAACTGAAATGATTATGTCAATAATCGAAGTTCGATTTCATTAAATGGCTACCTTAGATTTCTTCCCAAACTGAACCTGGTCCATCTCGTTGGAAGTGAATGTATGCATCATCCGCGCGCCGTCCTCCCAGGGTGGTTTGTTGTAAATACCATCGACATCCGACATCATGATTAGAAGATCTGATTGGATTTCTGCAGCCAGAAGCGCTGAGAGGCTGTCGTTGTCTTTAATACCGATACCCTATTTACAACAGAAATTTATTAAAAGCTAGCGACCCGCCATCGCTTCGCTTCGGAAACTGTAAATCATTATGGATTTCTCCACTATTTAATGGACGTTATTATACACATAAACCTTCTTCTTCAATCACTCTATCTATTAAAAAAAACCGCATCAAAATCCGTTGCGTAGTTTTAAAGATTTAAGCATACATAGGGACAGACAGATATAGGGACAGAGAAAGCGACTTTGTTTTATATTATGTAGTGATGCCAAAGTTCATTTATAAGTTACATCGCGATAATAACAACAGGGCTCAAATTTCATTGCCAGTCAGAGTCAATATCCTTTCAAAATATATTTGTTATTCGAGATTTTATTCTTTACTCATAACAAAAGAGAAAATTCCAAGTGGCACCCGTAAAAAGACCGGCTCTATATTTAAACGTTTTAAATTTACGTATTTTATGTTAACTCAATAGTCCCGACTGTTGGATTACTTGCTTATCGACACACGATTATTTTCAAACATGTCGATGTCGGACGAAAATTACAGAAAATACTACCATAATTATCATTTATATGGCATTAATGTTTTCTGATTTAAATAGTCTATAGTTAAGACTGAAGGCTTAAAAGCCTTATGAGAAGACCCAAAGGTTAAAAAGGTTTAAGCTCCCAGTTTCCTTTTGAAATGAAATCAGAAATGAGAAGATTTGCAGAAGAATCCTGATAGCCCATATAACCCAAAAATAACGAAGATTACGTGACGGTGGTCAGGGTATATAGGTTGAAGTACACATGGGCGATGGGGCCAAAAAGCTTTAGAGTAGCAATGCGGATAGCACAGGACCAGATGATGATAGTTGAGACCTAGACCTATGCTTGGAGGTGATGGTGTATTCTTGAATGTCAATAGGCCTCGATAATCAATAAGAGAAGTCTCAGCTCCCTGAGCAAAATAAACAAATTAAGTTTAGCATTTAAAATGACATACGGGAATTTAGCATGGGTTACTTATGACGACGCTAGTAGCTGAAAGTAAGTATTGTTCTTTTTGACGAAGCATGATAACTCTGTTTCTATAATCTGACGAAGCGTGTTGCGGATAATAATATTTACTTTTAGGTTATTAAAGTACCTTGCATTTTGATTTAGCATTGTCACTTAATGTCCGAAAATAAAGAATCCGCTATAAAGCGGATTCTTTTGAAATTACTATTCATATAAATAAATCAATATTCTATACATACCTTTTTTCCAGTTCCAGGTACAACGGTGTCGTCGTGAATGTACATAGGAGGGCTGACGGCATCATTGGTATTCACGATCGGTACAATGTTGAGAGAGATCAGCTCCGATAGCGTGCAGAAGAGATTTTTCCTGGTCTCCTCGTTGTAGAAGTCTGGCTTCGTCACTAATACCTTCAGGAATTTCAACAATCATCATTATATTATTATTACTAGTGGTGCCCCGATAGTCGAAATTCGACTATAACTAATTGACATTATAAGCTTCTACAATATTTATGATCCTGTTGTCAATATCTATAGTCACATATTTCGACAAGACTATATTAATAAAGAATAACAATATTTAATCTATTCTCAATTTAACCACAGATAATAAGCAATCAGAAAAGTTTGACAATAAACATATAGTATGCATGCGTGTGTGTGTCAAGTACATGGTAATGTGTGTAATGTTTTTTTTTTATTGATTTAATGTATTTTTTATGCATAATTTAAAAAAATATTAACATTCTGCACTCCTTCTCTATATTCTCTATAAGTGTGGGAAATTCATTCCGCTTCGTCCGCGCAATTTTCGTAAAAAGGGGTACAAAGTTTTTACTTCCCCTATTAATATATTATTATTAAGAAGCGAGTTTATGTTCCGTTGAAATACATTCGTTTTCAAAACAGAACGGATGACGGAATTCACTGAAAAATAGGCGGAATGATTGTATCGATCGGTGTGAGCTTTTAAAATTCCCTATTTTCAAAACTACTTTCCTAAAGTGCCTAATTAACCAATCCAAACTTTGATATCCGTCTCTAGGTAAATCAAAGCTAATTTAAGTAAACAAGCATTCATTCGCATAATTAATTACATGGGTCTATCACAAATTACGGAACTACATATACTTAAATATACATATGTACGTTAATGCAAATCACGAACTTTATTGTAATTTTGAATATTAAAATAATACATATGGAAAGCCCCATTTATTTCGACTGATTTCTGATGAAATATATTTATCGATAATTATTATAGAGGAACTGTTGCTGCTAGGATTTCGAAATTCAAGCGAACCGAGAATGCAGGATGAGGCAGCACCTAATCTGCAATTAATCCTTTAGTCACAGCACCCACCAGAAGAAGACGCGGTGATACTATGCTATTTCAGACCACACAGCTACAATCTTATTTTTTTTTAAGAAGAAGATTAAGAATTACTATTGACCCGGAGGCCTTTCCAGTTTCACCAGGATAGGTGAACGAATAGAGGCTCTGCCAAGAGAGAAGGAATTTGCTAACAGCTGCCCGAGCGCCTCCGGAAGAGACCTAACAACTCAGGGGCAAATCATATTAACTACTATTGTAGCGAAATTTAGACTTCTAACCGCATAATATACTCCTGTTGTAATTACAGAGAAAGGTTTTTTTCCTGAGTTCAATCCTTATACATAAATCGGTTCAGATTTAATGGACAATTTTGGAAGTGAGGGACATTTTCTGCAATACTTTTGTGTCTTCAAAATAGAATGTAAGCTTCAATTCTATTGTTGTTATGCGATACGATTCACCACGTCTGGCGCCTGCTCCGATAATCTTAAAATGTCTTTGTGGTTTCGGCTACAATCTAATCCAAGCTCCCCACAACTTTAATTAACGAAAATTTCTTTGAAGACATTGTTCTAAAATTTAAGTTCGAATCACGAAACACCTTCTTCAGAAGTTTCAACTTATATTTTTTTTTAGAATAATGCTTGTCGAAATTTATTGTTTTACTTTTTGCAATAATGAAAATGAAATTCATGCTTAACGGGCAAAGTGTTGAAATTTTTTGAAACACTAATTTTAAATTTAAATTTCAACCAAGTCATCTAATCAGAAAATTTCTCATTAAATGACTTTTAGGTACTGAATTTTTTTTAAATTCAAATTCTTTTTCGACATGTGACTGTGTTTTATAACAAAGGTAACCTGAAGATATATCTTTAGTTCGATTAATCTTCCGAAACTAACATTGCTCACAAATGAAAGCTATGCGAAAATATAAACTATATTATCTGTGATTGGATGGATAAGTAACTATACGGGTCCGATATGCCGTTAGGTAGGGTAGTAAAGAACAGTGAACTGTTCGATACATATGACCCAGTAGTGAATTTAGGTTTTCACTTACTTTATATTCAACTTAGCTAAATTTGATAACAGATTCAGCTAGAGATATAATTTGTAGAAAAGAACTAATTTGTTCTTGATTGATCAAGATATTTTGTCAAATTTAAATTCTTGATAAATGATTGCCAGAAATTTAACCGGTACAGTTCACTGCATTTTTTACTATAACAAATCCTGGTCATCTCGAACTAATTCGTCTCAACCCTATTTGGCAGCAGTGGTTATGCCAATTCAAAGCAAAGTTGACACAAGATAGATTCTCAATTAACATCATGAATATGTCATATGCTTTAAATTATTATAGGCATTTACAAAAATCATGTATGTAAATTTTTTCCTCCCAAAAATACTATTACGTATTTTGTTGTTCATTTTATTTCAAAAATACAGACGGAATCAAATTAAATCTTGCGGAAAATTATGTCCACGGTGTTTCCTGAGCGCTATGACATGTCCTTCTTTAAAAGAGGCTTGTGGAGAGTATTAAGCGGTAGGCAGCGGCTTGGCTCTGCCCCTGGCATTGCTGAAGTCCATGGGCGACGGTAACCACTCACCATCAGGTGGGCCGTATGCTCGTCTGCCTACAAGGGCAATAAAAAAATTATCTGTAATAGATTAACAAAAAATATTTGAAATGGTTATACACGTATCTGTCAAGCCAATTCACTTGTAAAAATACGTGGTCGAACGATGGTATAAAAAATATAATGATACAAAACTATAAATACACCGTATACCGTATTAAAATATGTGTATATGTACCCACCCGTATGCACAGAGAAATTTATATAGAAATGAGAAAATTCTCACATCAAAATATGGTTAACTCATAAATTAAATTTGAAATGCAAATTTTTCATGGGATTAACATAACAGCGACGTGTTTTTAAATTAAACGTGTAACATTCTACATGTTATGCATATGTTTCGATTATGCAGATTACGATTTCGGAAAAGCCCTGTGATCTGTGTGCTTAGTGCGAGTTTTTTAACGTTCTCGATAGCGTAAACGTTAACTCAAATTTGTATGGAGTTGGAACGGTTGCCTACGTTTGCCGCAAAAAAAAATATTGCTTAGATGGGTGGACGAGCTCACAGCTCACCTGGTGTTAAGTGGTTACTGGAGCCCATAGACATCTACAACGTAAATGCCGCCACCCACCTTGAGATATGAGTTCTAAGGTCTCAGTATAGTTAAAACGGCTGCCCCAACCTTCAAACCGAAACGCATTACTGTTTGGCGGCAGAAATATGCAGTCGAACTGTTCCAACTGCATACAAATTTGAGTTAACTTTTACGGTATCGAGAACGTTAACTCTCTCGCACTAAGCATACTGAACGTGTTTCTGAATGATATGAAGAGAATATCTATGAAGGATATATTACCTGTGCAATTTTGACATTGTACTGAGAGAACATAGCATCATACATCGACATGAGCTCCGACTGACCGACCGCCGCAGCGGCCCTCGGATCCAAAATGCTGCCTGCGTCCTACAAAAAAAAACAAAAAATTCTAACTATTCCAAGATTAAATAAATAATAGCTTAAAAAAACTAACAAAATACGCTTTTATAGAAAATCAAACTAAAAAATAGAAAATAAATTTTAATAAATTTGAATTAAAAATAGTGTAAGAAAAAATGATTGTATTGTAAAAAAGCGTGGGGTGCTTTTCAGGATATTATCAAAATAACCCTTCTACTCATATCTGTTCCTAAAATATTTATAACTATTTATAACTATATTTGTTCCAAAAATATTGATACCATGCACTCCATTTATTTATTTTACCATATTTATTTTTCATTTTTTAGTTGAATTTCAATTTTTTCAACTTTTTTTTTTTCAATTTTATTTTAATATTGAATCGTCATCCATCTTTAATAAGTATACACAAATTTCGAGTTAATCCGACGTTTTAAAGGGAGTAAAAATCATGTTCAAAGATTCCGTTACATACATACGTCAGAAGCTAATAAAAGAGTATTAAAATATTAGTTGTGAACACTAAAGTCATGAATTAGACGAACCTCTCTAGTGTGATCGCTTGGTGACAAAGTCTCCCGCATGGATAAAGACATGAGCAGCTCCTGCGTCAGTTTCTGCCGCCCGAACGCTACGGCGCCGCTCGTCACCATTATGCATTCGCGTCCTTCGTGATGACATTCGGCAACCTGAAAAATTCTCACTGTGATCACGTAATCGGAAAGTGTATAAAATTTTTATTTCCAACTTTTTCATTTCATAATTATTATAAATTTTTTTTTAAATTGTTGATGCACAAAACAAATTACAATCATTACAAAACATATTAGCTAAATCGTAAAAGTAGTACCTAGATCTAATCTGGATTGCAATCTAAATAGTATGTGCACTCAGCAAAACCATACTAATGTGCATAGCTTTGGCTATTGAAAACACAATTGAAATTACAAATATTGATAACTAGCCATTGTTAAATAGGATATCCTTCACACATCTGACAAATCCTCTGAGTCAAAGATATCAAGATTACCGTGACATTACATAATGCAAAAAACGTGACCTAATCCTATTGATTCTAATCTTATTGACTGACTCGGTGGTCAGCTCAGCGTCTCTGACTATTGCGCGGAGGGTCGTGGGTTCGAATCCCACACCGGGCAAACATTCGTGATGAATGATGGTATGTTTGCTCTTTGTCTGGGTGTATGCTATCTATATACATATGTATATACATAAACTTATATAAGTATATGAGTCTCTAGTACCCATAATCCTAAATAAACGGCGAATGACCGTGCGTGAGTTGTTCCCAATTTATTTTATTTTTCAACGCAGTTACTTTGTATTGCTTACAAAAAATCAATGTTTTGTAGATAATGACAAAATCAGTGCTTCTATTAATACGTAATCGTGTACAGAGTCGGACGCTTCCCCAGAAAAATATATACTTGGTTTTTAGTTTAAATGACTTTAAAGATTCGCTTCTCAGAGGACAGAATCATTATTTATGAACTCAATTTTAAGCCTGCTACCGAAGTTTGTCATTTGAATTACGAATTATAAATTTAATAAGGTCCGATATAAGAATTTGGAATAAAGCCATAATGAAGTTTATTCGCTTATGTAATAAGGTTGTTTTGGTAGGGAAACGAATGCATTTTACGACCTTATGAGTTTAAGTGAACAGAATTATAAAGCCGCTAATCGCCAACCCCTGCGTTGAATTATTCTTAGATTAAAATAAGCAGGCTATCGTATACTTTTCTTTGTTATTTTTTAACAGACGCGAGCTGATAGCAATTGAATATGCAATTTCGAAAAGGGCACATCTCTGAAAATATAAAATGTGCAGGAAATGAAAAAAAAAACTGATTATTTTCTAAAGCAGTGTAAAATTTAAAATATTAACTTTTGAGATATATTTTAGTGTTAATTAGCAATTGAAAATTACTAGAATTATTATAAAATGGGTGTAGGTAAGCCTCAAAACTACATGTATATGAAAAAACGTATTTGACAAAATATGATACTGGTGGTAGGACCTCTTGTGAGTCCGCGTGGGTAGGTACCACCACCCCGCCTATTTCTGCCGTGAAGCAGTAACGCGTTTCGGCTTGAAGGGTGGGGCAGCCGTTGTAACTATACTGAGATCTTAGAACTTATATCTCAAGGTGGGTGGCGCATTTACGTTGTAGATGTCCATGGGCTCCAGTAACCACTTAACGCCAGGTGGGCTGTGAGCTCGTCCACCCATCTAAGCAATAAAAAAAAAAAAATATGCGACATGTGCCCTTTCGAAATTGCATATTCAATTAGTTTTAAGGTACCCATTTTAAGTAGTTGTTCAATCATCGTCATAATTGATGAATCATACAAACGATTTTCAAACGCCCTTTACAACAATACAGTACAAACGCAAATTGACATTAAAAAGACAGATTGCAAAGTAATCGAGCACCTAACACAATAACTATTAAAAAAGTCTCTCTCTTTTAAAGAACAAAGAACAGTTTTCGTCGTCCAGTTCGAACATTAAGCTGCGAACTAAGATAATTACAGACAGATGCACTTTGAATATAAAACGAACCGCTTAACCCCTTTTCCAGAGTTCATAGCTAACTTAAAAAGAGCATAGAATTTTTAAAATTCCGGATTAATGGTACCCATTTTTGTACCCATGTTTGTCGAACTTTCTACAAGGTCCCCGCACCTAAAGGGCGCGCGAGGTATGTGGGACTGACCGGCCTACAGATGTTGGGAGAAGACTGCGAGCCCAAGGATGGTACTTAGAGACCTATCTACTAAACGACCCCCCTATACCCCTCGCCCAAGTGTCCGATGCCCCGGTCAGAACCCGGACGGAGTATGGGTGGTTACCGTAATCAACACTGTAACTAGACGCAGTGTCACTCCAAGGACGTCCATCTGACGGAGCCTCCAGGACGCGACCAAGTGTACCTTATGTTCTTTTTCGGTACCCCTTTTTTTGTACGCAATATATTACGATGATCAGTTGAGTAATTAAATTAAAGAGTGGACGGTTAGCGTGGTATGGACATGCGACGCGTAGAGAGAAGATGCATATGCCTAGGAGATGTATGGAAATGGTAGTGCAAGGTAGAGGGGGAAGAGGTAGTCCGAAGAAGCCATGGATGGAATGTGTGAATGACGATATGAGAGAGAAAGAGGAGTGAGTGTTGAGATGACGGCTGATAGTAGAGAATGGAAGAGAAAAAAGCTGTGCCCACCCCACCTAATTGGATAAGATGGAGAAAAAGAAGAAGAGTTAAGTAATAAAAATTTCTGATTGTAACAAACAAACTAACTCATTTTCTCATTTATAATGTCAGTCTGTATTATAAATTCGAAATAGGATAATACGAAACATCGTAAAAGGATACCAATTATTTGAAGTCCGAGACAGCGTTTATCATTTCGTGGCTCTGTTCAAGTTTTAGGGATAAAACTTCAACATAAGTGTTTAATCTATTGTAATTTTTTTTCCACAAGAGAAAATTACCAGTTCCACCCGCGTGACAGGTGTGTGGGAGGTATGTCGCAGGTATGTGGGAATTGAACCTCACTAAAAACTCCAGCCGCTCACAACCGGCGCCCTATCCCAGACCGGGCCGAAGCCTAGTCGGGGTTATTGAGACGACGGGACAGGGTTTACGCAGAGCATATTATATCCGTCTATTAAATAAAATAAGCTCATTTACCAATCTTGTATTAGTAAAATTATTACATAATGGTAATTTTACCTGTTCTATAATAGAAGCGAGTCGACCGAGAGCCAGTCCGTTTCCATCTTCTCTCGTAATCACAGCACTACCTAACTTCACAACCAATCTTCTGGCGTACTTTAGCTGCGATCTGTCAGTGAAGGTTCTCTGTTTCCTTTCAGCACTAGCCAATGCTCTCTTGTCTACGCTCAAGCCCTGTGAACAATGAAACATGGTTAAGGTTTACACGGTTCCAAATAAAGTTCATTGGATCATTATTTTTTAGCGTTCTGTCTAACCAGATCCGCACAACCCTAGATTCCACCGTCTACAATGCTCTCGGAGTACATACAGAGAGCCGAAAACAGGACGAATTGGCACAATTGCGATCACGAAAGTCATGCATATTTTGATCACGATCCTAAAACATGAAATGCACGACTGGATGAGGAGAAAATCCTTCATCACTCAAACTTCAAACACATCTATGTGTTCGAAGTCCATGCACTTATGCAGCGGCCTGTACATATATTTGGATATTAACACCTGTCCTTGTGAAACTGGAAAGGCCTCCGGGCCACCAGTAAGCCCTCAATCATAAAAAAATAAAATAAAAAAACCTTCATAATTCAAAAAAAAAAATTTATTTAATAAAATTTTAAAGTCAACGATGCGCATCTAAAACTTTAACATCCAGGTTATTCCGATAAAGTCACGTACTTACAACGCCGCAGCATAGTTAATCCCAGAGCTTAATTCCTGCAGCGCTTGCAGTATACGAAAACTGCTATGAGATATTTTCTAGTACACAATTTTGGCTTAATTAAAAACACAACTTAGCCAGTTGCAGTCGTGATATAAGCACCGTTATTTAATTCTATCTGATGAGTTTTAAATATGAACCGAGTGAATAGGTTGATCGTTTTGAGGGATTTTTAACATTTTTGCTTAGGTAACAATCATTATCGTGCTGCGTATGAGCTCAAGTTAAGCTTGATAAACAGAATATTGACCTCGTCATCTGCGCGTATAGCTAATTTCACAATTTTGACTTTGGTTACTACCATGTTAGAAAAAACTCGAAATTTTCAAAAACAGTGTCAATCGAAAATCAAAATTGCATTCATATTTTGTTAGGAGGATTTTTTTATTGCTTTGATGGGTGGACGAGCTCACAGTCCACCTGGTGTTAAGTGGTTATTGGAGCCTATAGACAACTACAACGTAAATGCGCCACCTTAAGATATGAGTTCTAAGGTCTCAGTATAGTTACAACGGCTGCCCCACCCTTCAAGCTGAAACGCGTTACTGCTTCACGGCAGAAATAAGCGGGGTGGTGGTACCTACCCGTGCGGACTCACAAGAGGTCCTACCACCAGTAATTACGCAAATTATAGTAGAATTTTTGCGGCTTTGACTTTTATTACACGATGTTCTTCCTTCACCGTGGAAGTCAATCGTGAACATTTGTTAAGTACGTATTTGATTAGAAAAATTGGTACGGGATCGAATCCCGCCTGCGGGATTCGAACACCGGTGTATCGCTATATACGAATGCACCGGACGTCTTATCCTTTAGGCCACGGCGACTTAAAACCAGCGTTCTCTTAGTAAATTTAAAATATTAAACGCAAGATTAAATCGCAAAAATATTTTCATATTTGCGACTTGCGAGCACTGAATACAACACTACCACCAAATTTTTGTTTTAGTAAATTTCACAGTCAAAAATAAATATCTCACCACGTGAGAAAAATACGACACCCGAACAAGCGTAACTCTAATATAAATATTAAAACTAGTTATATAATCTGACAAGAATCAAAATCCATTAAAAACATTATTCAGCATTAGACTTTCGGCCCGTCTAAAAATAAAACCTAGATTTGTCATTATAATAATTGACGTATCATTGAAGTCAATTTAAAGGGTAGACAATGAAACGTCGTCGCTCTATTATCATTATCATTATGACCTCGTTGCAATAAAACCGAGTTCAAATCAATTGCCTGCCTTTGATTTGTTGGACTTCAGCATCGCATTGTTGCCGAAGCTATCAACCATTTGGACACAAACACGCAGAACATGTTATAAACATAACAATAACCTTATAAGATAGGACGCAATAGAGCGTATCGTTTTTTCGTTGTTATTGGACATTGAATATTATCAGTGGCTATCTTAACTTATATCTTATAGTATTTCATTACGTAGTTTTCGCAAATAATGACGTTTTTGATAATCCACAAATTTAAAGTTTTCTTCGGTTTTCTATTAAGGTTAATTAAAACTATTATACATTTACGGTTTAATCGCGTATTTTCATTGTCATTGTATTATTTCTAACGTAAGCAGTAAGCTAGCTAGTAATGATATATAAAAAAAAAAAGGGATATTGTTTCGAAGCTGAGATACTATATTTGCTGTGTAATTCTGACAAGTACTGTACAAGTGTTGTAAAATTAAACCACCCGCACCGTTTAAAACACTATCAGTTTATTGTCAAAGAACAGAAAGCACAAACACAAAGAAGGAGAAGAGAGTGGCGATATGTGAAACAATAACATGAAGCGACAGTACCTACAATTACAAACTATTTTATAATTACTATCGTAAGCCAGTTATTAAGAAAGCGCAAGGGTCTCGCATTAAATCGACCAGCTGACTGACTTAGCGAGAACCGATACAAAGTGTGTCTAGATGTACATATGCATTTATTTTATATTTCTACATTAAAAACAACTTTGTTCACTATATGAAAATTCGGATCGTTTGTCCGTTCAACACACAATTAATTATTAAACTTTTAAATCTATTTTTACATCTTACAATGTATCTTACAATGTATCATCATCATCATTATCCTGCCCTTCTCCCAGTCACCTGGGGTCGGCGCAACATGTTTTCTCCTTCCATACTCTTCTATCATATACCATTTCTTCGCTCACTCCCCTCCTACCCATATCGTCTTTCACACAATCCATCCATTTCTTCTTAGGTCTACCTCTTCCTCTAAATCCTTCCACATTCATAGTTAACACTCTCTTAACAACCTCATTTTCATTCCGTCTCATCACATGTCCATACCATCCCAAACGTGCACTCCTCAGCTTCTCTGTCACAGGTGCCACTTTCAGACTTCCTCTAACATATTCATTCCGTATTCTATCCATTCTCGTTACTCCACACATCCATCGCAACATTCGCATCTCTGCTGCATGCAATCATATCTTACAATGTATAATAACAATATAATGTTACAAATAATTTTTGACATGCTACAATTCTTTCACGAAATTCGTTCCCAAGTCCCAACTTCAACTTCATCATTCAACTATGGAGACCCTGAACTTTAAAAAGATTAATTAGTTTCAGTTGTTTACTGATACTAGGGATTTGGAGAATAATAAATTTGACCACTATATTGCCTATTTCTGTCGTCGGTTCCATTCGACTTAGATTTTACATCGCCGTGAATCCCAACAAACTATTAGAGCAGTCTAATAAAACTTCAGTAAGTACACTAATAATGAAGTCCAATGTAAAAGATAAAAGAGCTATCGAACATAATCAAACATTTACATAATTAGATATCGAACAGCAACCGCGGGACACAGGACACCTGACGTTATCCTTAACTTGATAAAACTAATGCTTGCTACTAATATGTTACTATTTATTAGCATTACATGTACAACAAATATGTCCAGTAATTATTATATAATCGAAGTGAATTTCTAAATCACATTTATTCAATTAAAGCTGTAACACAGGCTACGAGTATACTACTCTGGAGGTGATAATCAAAGGTTTTTAAATTTCAATTTGGAATATCGAATTTGATTATGTTGGCGCGATTTTGGCGGGAAACATAGATAGTTTTCTTCAATTTCGATTTGTTTGAAAACGACTTGTATTTTAGTTGTAAATAAATTTTGATTATTAATATTCTACAGCAGATTACAAAGAGTCATAAAAATAGCTAGTGGCGCTGCCTTCGTAATCTTTGAGAGCGCAATTGTATTATCGGCCTGCGTCTCAGACTAGAATAAGGATTAAGAGAATAGTACAATAACGAATTAAAAAAAAGCAGTTTGTTGTAAAGAAAAGTATCGCCAAGATAAAGATTTAACAACAAGAGTTAAAAATTGTAACAAATAAAAAAAAAGCGCAAATAATGAAAATATATGTAAAATTACGCAAATTTCCACCCAATGTCCGAGAATTCAAAAATGGCATTTTAGATTTTGTAATTTTTTGCCTCTTTTTGTCTCTTTTCTCCAAAGGTTACATAAAAACGAAATAAATTAATACATGACAACATATTGCAAAGTGAAATTACCCAGTGGCCGAGAAATTGTTCAGAAAGAACTAACATTGTAGAACTTTTAATTGAATGGTTCGCAAGTGCATTGCTTTTACTGAAGTGAAAAGAAAATACAAGGAACTTCCTTGGCTTTTAATGTTAAAGTTAAACTGATTCTATTTATTATGAAATCGCAACGAATGTAAACTTTGTGTTTCTACAATAATATCCAGAGCTACATGAATGGTATTAATGTTTCAGTTTAGTTTAAATACTTGGAACTATACATTTTTATAGAAATATCGTAATCAAATGAGGACATCCCTGTAAATAAAGAAAAATATGTCGCTAGTGATTGCTCGGGGTCATTAACCTATACGTAGATCGGGAAGTTGCTAACGGCATGATCAAATCTGTTGAACGCCTCTGTATAAAACGTCTGATATCAAAACACATTGTAACCTCAAATTCTGGCTATTTCTGGCGTAAAATGTCGATTTGTTCTACATTAAAAGGCAAGGCAACAATTAAATTTAAGCTAGGTTAACTATTACCTCACTACCTACCAGTTGAACCGTGGACTATACCAATGCAAAAACAAATGGTCCGTGAAATCTTCCCTTTTTTGGGCCGAGGACCATGCCTCCTAGGAGTTGCGCGTGCCGAGAGCGCTCGCAGGATATGAGGAACTATGTGTAACTGCCTAGATAAAGAAGGCCACCAAGGACTCCCCTAAACTCTCATCCGAACTTTCAATTACGACCCGAGAGATTGTTTAGGGCAAAACCCGGGAGATTGTTTAGGGCAATCCTAGACATAAAATTTTATACAATTGTTTTTAAGTCTGGGAACACACTAATAAGTATGGCAACACAGTTAGTTGCAGTTGCCAAAAATTCTGGTCGTACGT